CTCGACGAAGTGCACTCACTGCTGAACAAAGGTGCTATCAAGCCCATAGATCCTGGTTTGCTTTTTCTCTAGGTGCTTTACTGTGCCTAAGAAGGACTCGGGCCTTAGACCCATTCTGGGCTTAAGACAGTTGAATGCATGTTTATGTTACTGCCATTCCCATATGGTAACTCTGCATTCTATTTTGCCTCTTTTGCAGAGACATTGCTTTGCGACCCTCGATCTCAAAGATGCTTATTTCCACATCAGCATTCAGAGAGATCACAGGAGGTTCCTCACCTTCACCATTGGGGCCAACCTTTACAAATACAGGGTCCTACCCTTTGGACTCTCAATGGCACTGAAGGTGGCTTCTGTGGCTGCCTACCTCAGATGAAACGGGATCACAGTCTTCCCTTACCTGCATGACTGGCTCTTCATGCCACCGTCACCTCAAATGCTGAGAGAGGATCTCCAGTTCACATTGACCCTCCTGAACTCTCTCGGACTTATGGTCAATGAGGAGAAATCAAATCTGACTCCTTCAAAGCAGGTCAGATTCATTGGCGCAATTCTTGATTCAGACAGAACCATGGCCTTCTTGCCTCAGGACAGATTTCAGGCTCTCTGCATGGCTATTAGGAACTGCCTCACACACAGATGAGTCAGAGCACATGTGATCCGAGTGGCCCTGGGACACATGGCTTCAACCACTTTTGTCACCCAGTGGGCTCACTTATGCCAAAGACCAGTACAGTTTTGGTTCCTGTCTGTCTTGGATCCCGCGAGCGATCCTCCTTTGAAGTGGCTCACGGTACCGAGGCCTGTAGCCAAGTTGTTGTGCTGGTGGCTCGATCCTGACGATGTTTGCTCAGGAGTGCCCTTCTTGGCTCCTCGAGCTCGAATCACCCTGACCACAGACGCTTCCCTGGAAGGGTGGGGAGTGCACACACAGGACCTGACCGTCAAGGGAGAATGGTCTCTACAGGAGAAAGAGCTTCACATTAATGGTCTGGAAATGCTGGCAGTGGAGAAGGCCCACAAAGCATTTCGCACTTTGCTGGCAGGAAAGGTGGTCTTGCTACTGAACGACAACACCACCGTTATGTTTTATCTGAACAAACAAGGAGGCATGAGGTCTCACACACTACTACAGATCACCATCTGCATATGGAACTGGTGCATTTCCAACAAGATCATGCTTCAATCAGTGCACCTACCAGAAGAGGACAATCAGTTGGCGCACTGGCTCAGCAGGTCAGCCAACCCCTGCCACGAGTGGCATCTCCACCCAGAGGTAGTCTCCTACCTTTTCTCTGTCTGGGGCACGGTGGAGATCAATTTATTTGCAACCCCCCAGAACACCCAGTGTGCCAGATTCTGTTCTCGGGTTCAAACTCCACTCTCGCTAGGTGATGCCTTCCAGTTCGAGTGGTCAGTATGGAGGTTTTACACTTTCTCTCCAGTCCCACTCATCACGAAGGTGGTGGCCAAAATGAGGTCCGACAGGACGGACACCATCCTGATCACAACCATGGTTTGCACCTCTACTTTTGATGGTACGGGAAGAGTACTCTCGTCTGGAGTCTCGCTCAGACTTGCTGACTCTGCACAAGGGCAGAGTCTTCCATCAAGACATAGACCAGCTCCCTTTGGTGGCATGGAGGCTGCATCCATACTGAACTTGCCCCTGCCTGTACAGACTGTAATCCGGGCTGCTCAGAAGCCCTCCACTATTAAGTCTTATTCTTTGAAATGGAAAAGGTTCTCAGACTTCTTATCATCTAAGGACATTCCTCCATCCTGTGCATCGATCCTGATGATCCTAGAATTTCTGATGTCACTGGCCGACGCAGGACTCTGCTTGAATTCTGTCAGGTGCTATTTATCTGCCCTATGTTCTCATTACCAATTCGAGGGCAGACCCTCTTTTTTCTTGGACCCTCTAGTGAAGAGGTTTCTTAAAGGAATTTCTAATTTGTATCGCCCGGCTTCAGTACCAACACAGGCCTGGAGCTTGGACTTGGTTTTGGCTCACCTTCCTTCCAGACCTTTGAGCTTATGGCCACAATGGACTTAAGATTGCTGACCTGGAAGACAGCTTTCTTAGCGGCCAATACTTCTGCTTGTCGCGCTGGAGAGATTTGTGCACTGCGGATGGACCAACCATACCTTCGGTTTCATAAGGACAAGGTGGTTCTCTGTACCGACATCACATTCCTACCTAAAGTGGTGTCGGCCTTCTACATTAACCAAGACATTGTTCTGCCAACCCTGGCCTCGAACCTGACCACCAACACCAAACGGAGACTGCAAACTTTGGATGTTCACAGGGCATTGACCTTTTATATTGACAGAACCTCAGGTTCGAGATGCTCAGAGAGACTCTTTGTATGCTACTCTGAGGCCAAGAAAGGACTGCCGGTCTTGGCACAAAGATTTTCCAAGTGGGTGACTGCTGCCATCCATCTTTGCTATGCACTGGCGGACAAGACCCCACCGGGCCGGGTGCGGGCGCACTCAACAAGGGCGGTAGCTGCATCCTCTGCTTTTTTTTTCAGGAGTGCCACTGGAGGATGTCTGTAAGACTGCTGTCTGGTCCCAACCATTGACTTTTATAAAGCATTGCAGATTGGACACAAGGGCCAGACAAGAAGCCTCTTTCATGAGGGCAGTGTTACTGTCTGCTTTACACTGAACGACACCAGAATGCATTGGTGATTACAGTTTACAGTTTATTGTTAATGAATTTCATATTGTCTGAACTCACAAGATTGTTGTCAGGATGCTCCCTCCTCCACTGACCAAAGCTTGTCAGTCTGAATAACCCATTTGTGTGATTCACAGAGACCACGAAGGAGGACAGGTTGCTCACTTGTAAATGTATTTCTTTGAGTGGCCATCTGCGAATTCAAACAAATCCTCCCCATCCTCCCCACAGTCATGTCCTGCTCACTACTAAATTCCTGTTGCTGCTGCTTGGTGGCGTATGTTTTGGAACTGGAGAAAGAGCGGAACGCCAGGGGCTTTATAGGGGTGGGAGGAGCTACCACCAAAAAGGTTCAACTGAAGTTTTGCCCAGTCATACCAGAACTTTCTGAGCTAGCTGCGCAGGCGCATAGATAACTCATTTGTGTGAATTCGCAGATGACCACTCAAATAAATACAATTTACAGGTGAGCAACCTGTCCATCTCCTCCCTACTCTGCTTCATTATGGGATAGTAGGATTCAGGGTTTGTTTCCCTGTGTCCAGGAATTATAACAGCATAACCAACACCCCTCTTACATTCAAGGTACATATTTATATGGACTTTATCATTCTACATATTAGATTAGATCCCCTTCCATAAATGGAAAGGATGCTTCCATTCATGAGAGACTTCTGATCTGGCAGAGGAATCCTGCAGGCAGAATAAAGGTGGTGATCCTTGCCAATCCCTCCATACTCTCTCCCCTCCTGCCCCACATCTGCAACAGAGAGATTTGGAGACCCTTCAGAGTGGTAGGAGTAGAGGAGAAGATGTGAACTGTAGAGCAGGAGAAAAATCAGTGGAGATCAAAATCACCTTCTCTCTGTAAACAAAAGTATTCTAAGGAGAACTCCAGTCCAATTATGCTTCTGTTTGTGAAAAATAAAGATGTAAAGTGAGGAAAGCATGAACTGAAGTTGGGTCCTCATAATTCTCAAATTTGGATCTTTTAAGCGTTATGGACTTCAAACTCCCAGAAGCCCCAGTAAGCTTGGCCAATGCTCAAGGACTCAGTGAGCTGAAGTTCAAAACATCAGGAGACAAAAAGCTTGAGAACTGTTATCGGGAACAAGATTATCATTGTAAAAAAGAAAATGTCAATTTTTTTCCTTAAAAAAGATATATAAATTATAAGATGCATATAACATTTCAAATTCTTCAAACCCATTAGAAACATGATGGTAAGTCAGAATTTTGTAGAATCCAAGCTTTTTACCATGAGCAAACTGTGTGTGTTTATGACACTGCTAAACATAACATATTGTCCATACTCTAAATTGGTGCTCCCAAATAAACCTGGCTTCATAAAGCAAGATTTCTTGGCTTACAAATTATGGTTTGTCTGGGAGTGATAAGAGAGGCTTATGCTTGCGTGATATGCTAAAACACACATACACACATTTGTAGTTTGTTTTGTCACTCTCTTTATTAACTTAAATTATGAAAAGAGGGTAAAGGGATAATTTAAACACCTGTAAATATAGCTTTACATCTCACTTTCAAGAACACTGAAAGTTCTATGCACTCTTGTAACCTACCTGAAAGCTAAAAGTATACATACTGAAAGAAAAGTATGATTTAGCATCTTTTCTTTCAGTGGAAATAACTGCTTTGTAGATCCAGCTGTTTCAACTTGTTTTCCCCACCCTTGGCAAATGCTGAAATAATATTTCATGTGATAAAGGTCACCTCTTGGATACAGTGCAATTTTTATCTGCTAGTGGATCTGATTCTATTTAAATTCTATCTAAACTTGTGGAATAAAGGACTCTGTAGTCCTTTAATGTAGGGGTTTTATCTGTTATGTGTTCTTAAAACAGTAGTGAGGAAGGAAGCTAAGAAAACCAATCCCAAATGAATCCTCACTTGGCAATCATGCCCACCATTTTTTTTAAGATTGCATTTTCCTTCATTATGGTTTTCATTTAACCACTGAGTAAATACAGCTTTCACTTCAATCATTGTCTTGCTGGCACTAGGTATGATTTTCCTTCCATAAATCTCAAAAGGTGAACTATGATCATAAATCTCCCATCTGTTGTTATGTGCTTCAAGTCAACACGGACTTAATGGTTAATGGTTTTCTTGGCAATATTTATTCAGAGATTTTCCAACTCTTCTGTGTATTGTTGTTGTTGTTTCTGACTTATGATGATCCTAAGACAACCCTATCATAGGGTTTTCCTAGCAAGATTTGTTCAGGAGCTTTGCCATTGCCTTTCTGAGGCTGAGAGCATGTGACTTGCCCAAAGCCACCCAGTGGGCTTTGTGGCTGAGATGGGAATTGAACCCTGGTCTCCAGAGTCATAGTCCAAAACTCTAACCACTATGCCCAGATAGCTCTCAGCACCTTTCCTGAAATCCCAGTTTTGTTACAGTGCTTGTGCACAACTGAAAAGAAAAAAACTTCCCACAAAAGTATGAACATAGCTAGCTGGCATGGATTTGGGAACAGGAGGTATAATCATCCTAGATTTAGAGTATTTAGAAAATAATGCTTGTGTGTGTGTGTGTGTGTGTGTGTGTGTGTGTGTGTGTGTGTACAAACAGAGAGCCTCTTTCCACCAGTCACAGATTACTAAGCAATATTTTGAACTTTGTGTTGCAATGACCACTTCTCCTTCCTAATCCAATATGAATACCAGCTTCTCTAAGAACTTGGAGATTCAGACATGCAGGATTATTTATTATTTAGCAGAATCATTTTTTAAACCTAACCAAACATAGCTAAATCTCCATTTGGTTTTACTTGCTCTGCAGTCAACTTCATCCAGTGTTCAACTTCAGATTTACCTGAAATAAAAATGGTCTTAACCCATCATGAAGTGAGACTAATGTCAAAGTTCAGTACTGCTGAACTGTAGCAAAACTAAGTTGAAAGTCTTTTATTGTGTTGACTGTTAGTATATGTGTGTGTGTATTAACATGTTTATTAATGTTTATAGGTATAAGTAGTAATTGGATGGGTTTTTCCCTCCTCTGTGTTGTTGTGTATTTATCTTTGGTTTCAATAATAAAGTGTCATTTAATTTTTTTAAAGTTCAGTATTCCAGATAACAGAAATTCTTCCATTAACACCTGCCTACAATTGCTGGAAACTACCTCTGGACTTTTATTAGTCTTCACGGAGTTTCTGATTAAACATCCATGTTGAACAAACCATCCAGCATAAATACAGATTAGTTGTAGGTTTTAGCTTTGTGACATTAATTTCAACCTACCATTTTGTTTCTTTGCCTCTCTGTAACAGAGGTTGAAAAAAATCCGATAAAATTTATTGTTGTATGTATAATCACTTTTTAAAAACTCCTGTTGACTACTCAACTGTTGGCTGGTGAAGTAATTTATAGAGAGCTACTGTACACAATGGGACAGTTGACTGCCTTAGCAAACCTGATGTTATGAGGTGGTTATTTAAATGGTTATACATAAACTCACTTCTTGGCTGAAAAAGAATGCAAACAAATTAGTATTGTATTCTTTGTATATTAAGAACAGAGGTAATATGTATAAAAATTATTTTTAATGAATTAAGTGCTTCTAATAACACTACAGTTGGGCCTTGGAACTTGAACCTGACAAATGTATGAATAACTCTTGGTACCCTGGAAATTGGGTGTTTTCCATTATATACACAAACTTCCTTTACTGTAGGAAGTAGAATTTTAGGAAGTTCCCACCTACTGCCCTTTCTGTTCAGCCTGTTTGAAAACAGTGGGTCAAACTAATCTGCAAATGCCTTCAGAATTTCTCCAATATATACTCCCCATATTATGTAAGCATGTTCATATGTTCTATGCTTTAGAAGAGAGAAACACCACGTTGTTCACAAAAATCACAGGGCCTTGACTTCAGGTAAAAGGAGGCAAATCTGACATACATAATTTATCCTGCTTCTTCCCATTATGGTACGAGGGGAGGATTCTATTTTTCCCCCTTCCAAAATTTCCCAAAACATTGCCAACTACTTCTACTCTATCACCACAGTCCCCAAGGGCTACAAATAAAAAAAAAAATTAAAAAAATTAAAGCCCCAGCCCATCTTCATTGAGACCTGAAGTTCTTAAGATTCTGAATGTTGCATTCAGTGCCCAACTGGGTTGTTTCTTTATAGAATTGGGGGGAGAGGAATCACAACTGGAGAAGTGACTTGCTTATATCTATAAATTATCATAGGTGTGATTCTTTTCTACTCTGCACTGGTGGCTTTATGGTTATGGCCAATGATAGGTTTCCATGTTATCACCCACACAGAAAAGAATGGTGGATGCTATGCTCCTTTTTTCCCCTTTGGGTCCATCTTTTTATGACTGCAAATGCTTAGGCCTGAAGACTTAAGCAGATTTTTCTTTTGTGAAGCTGGGGGGGTGAAGCAGCCAGCCAGCTTGGAGTGTCCAGAGGCTGCTTCAGCCCCAGTCACACACACCCACACCCAATTGCTGACGCTGCAGTCCCGATGCCAGCCACCGATACGGTCCCGAATGGACCACTGGCAAGGAACACTTTTTTGTGCTTCTTTTTCCGGCAGCCCCAGGCTGCCTTCAGTGGCTTCAGGATGGCTTCCAACCACTCCAGAGGCATGTGTCATGTGCATGCCCTGTCCCTGAAGTGTCCTGAAGCCACTCTATCTTGCCCATCTGTTTCAGGCCATAGTCTACATATTATCTTCCTTTTTGAGTGTTTTATCCATCTATCTCTAAGTAGGGCCATGAATAAAACAAATAAAAACTGAAAATAAAAACTCAAGAGTGTTTCACATAGTTGTGCAGGGTTTGTTTTTTTAGTCAAAATTTGGAAGGCAACAGGGGAACCAGAAAAAGGTCCTCAAAAAGAGCAGAATATTGGCAGTAAATGAGACTAATGACCAGTTTTCCTCCCCCACTACCATCATGCCTCAGCCATCCTCCAAGATGTTAAATCTGAATTACAGTTTAACACAAAAGTTCAACCATCTGTTGAAATATTCCTGTCACAGATAACTTTTTTCTGCTGTGAAATAAATGTGCAGCAGAAGGGACACACAAACAGCTTTTCCTAAATGTTATCTTCTCTTGTTCTGAGAGTATCAACATTTCCCAGCATTCAAACTACAGTATTCTAGTAATGGAGAAGTGAGGTTTATTGTATAATGTGACTACATAATTAGCATGGGCACCTCCTGCAACATCATGAATGGCAAGAGTTTGCTTCCTTCTTTTCCTACCTATGTTGTGTCAGGAGGGGGAATAAGCATTTTATTTAAAAACAATGTCCACAATTGCTCAAGTCCCATTGTTCTCAATGGTGGCACAGTCAAGCAGTCGTGCCACCATTGGGGACAATGGGACTTCACCTCATGAATTGTCCCTCCCTCCCTCCCTGCTTTCACCTGAGGCGGCGGGCAGCAAGGGACCTCCACCAGTGCCGCCTCTTCCTCCTGCTCTTTCTTCTTCCTCCTCCCCATCCTCTGCAGCTTCCTCCCACCTCCTCCTCCTCCTCCTCCACGGAGTTGGTGGTGCTCCCCCTGGATTTGCTGGGGTGAGGTGAGGGGGTGGGTGGGCAGCTTCACAAAAGAAAAATCTGCTTAAGTCTTCAGGCCTAAGCATTCTCCCGAGAGCCCCAGCACTGGTCATTGGAGGGTCCACTCTAAGCAGAGGGAAACTTACCCGCCACCAGGTTCCAGTGCTTCTCCGCAGTGGCACTGGCCGAGCCCAGGGCCGAGCCCCCCCTTGGACGGAAGGTCTCCCTCAGAGGAAGATGAGGAGGAGGAGTCCGCATCCTCTGGGGTCCGATCAGTGGGACATGCCGGGGGCCTAGGAGAGGGAGGCCA